CCTCCTTCAGGGAACGAGGGTTACATACGTAACCGAGACGTTAACTATAATAACCCTGATTAGATCAAAAATGTTATAAAATAATGAGCATGAGAATTTATGAGTATAAGAACATTAGAATATGATTGAGTAGCTCCACCCACAGTGAAATGTTATTTGTCCAAAGTCATCGTCCATAATAATTGCATATTAATCATTAAATATTTTTGGCTGCTTCATTTAAAGGAACAGTTTACCTAAAAAGTGAAAATGTTGTCGTCATTTACTCACCCTCATATTGTTCCAAACCTGTATACGTTTCTTCCTTATGTTGAACATAAAAAGATATTTTGAAGAATGCTGGTAATCAGACAGTTGATGGTCCCTTAGTATTTCTTTCCCTACTATGGAAGTCAGTGGGGACCAGCACCTATTTGGCTCTTCAACATATCTTCATAAGCAGTTTTGGGGGTAATATATTACAAGTAACGCAAGTTACGTAATCAGATTACTTTTTTCAAGTAACTAGTAAAGTAACGCATTACTTTTTAATTTACAATAGAATATCTGAGTTACTTTTTCAAATGAAGATCACAGAGACTCTCTTGACTTGGACCAGTATAAGATCAAGATTCTGAACACCTTAGCAATGCATAACACCACCTGGTATTTAAATCTCATGCAATTTTAATGCTAACTTAAATATATAACACAATAAAGAAATATAAATGGTATTTAAAATTTATAAAAAGTAATTGTTGTGCTTTAATACTGTATGTGACTGGTATACTTCTATACTACTTATTCTAGTCTTTCCTGGTGTGCATTTTCCATACAGCTGAACTATGGCCTACCATAAAATAATTCCAGATATGACAGATTGCTCTCATATGGTTTTAGAAGACTGGGAATGTAGTGCAGAAGTTTGTGACTATATTTATGGTGCCTTTCTAGTGGTTATAATATTTATCCATCATTTCTATAACACCAAAAAGGAGAACACTGCAAAAATCAGTGAAGCCAGAATAAAATCTGAAAAATAATCGCAAACCTATAAGCAGTGACGGAAACTTTTCCAGAACAGTTACATTATCAAGGAATGATATTTAACGAGAGCTCTCTGACCGTCCCATAGACAGCAGTGTAATTACCACGATCAAGGTCCAGAAGCGTAGCAAGGAGATCATTAAAATAGTCCATGTGACATCAGGGGTTCAACCATAATTTTACGAAGCTACGAGAAAACTTTTTGTATGCAAAAAAACAAAAATAACGACTTTATTCAACAATTTGTGTCCTCCGTGTCACCCTAACCCCAGTTTGGAGAGTATCCCCTAAACGTAAACAGCGTA